ATAGATAGATAGATAGATAGATAGATAGATAGATAGATAGATAGATACATACATACATACATACATACATACATACATACATACATACATAATACATAATACATGCATGCATACGTACATAAACAAACAGACAGATAGACAGATAGATAGAGATAGAGAAATAAATGTCCTCACTCTGCTCCTCCTGCTTCTGGTTTATAATCTAGCATCCATACTTCCTCCTGAGCGCTGAGAGGAGGGTGATAGCCACTGCTCACTGATGGCTTTTTATTTATCAGCATACTGGATCCTTGGTACTCACTTCCCTGATAGATCTTCACCGTGTAGACAGGCTTCATTAGCCTCACTCTCCAGATGAGGAGACCAGGCTGGGAAAGATGATGGCACGGCCTAGAGTACTGCATGTCCTGACAGTGCCAACAGCTGATGTGGCTCAGCTCTGTCTGTCTGACTCCATTGTCCCTGTGCTCTGAGCCACTCGTTGGGAATTGGGTACAGGACAGGGCTTCTGCCCGGCTCAGTTACCTGAGGTGAACGCAGTGACCTCAGCAGGCCTCTCTGCAGGTCAGTGCCACTGTTCTGGGTTTACGTAAGGAACGTGAGCGGCTCCCCTCCGGCCTGGGTAGAGCTCTTGCAGTGTCCCAGAAGTGAAGCTTCTGGCTGTGTGACCCTGAGGGGGGTTATGGGAATGGCTGCTCCTCATAACAGGCTTTCTACCAACTCTTTCTGCAGATACTACCCCAGTGGAGACGCTTTTGCTTCCGGGTCAGATGATGCAACGGTACATTTCTGTTATTTTTTTTATTTTTATTTATTTGTTTGTTTGTTTGTTTTCAACACAGGGTTTCTCTGTATAGCCCTGGCTGTCCTAGAATTCGCTCTGTAGACCAAGGTGGCCCCAAACTCCAGACATCCACCTGCCTCTGCTTTAATTTTATTTTATTTTTCAAATTTTACTTAATGTATTCTTATGTGTATGGGTGTTTGCCTGCATGTATGTCTATGCACCACATGCATGCTTGGTGCCCTTTTAGACCAGAATTGAGTACCGGGATGTCCTGAGAGTGGAGTTACAGAATGTTGTGAGCCACCATCTAGGTGCTAGGATCCTTTGGCATAACAGTCAGTTACCTTGACAGCAGAGCCATCTCTCCAGCCCCTTAGCTTTACCAGAAGTCATGTGTAGTCACTGAATAAAAATGGAAGGAAATTAAGTAACTCTCCTTTTCTACAGAAAACTCACAGTTTAATGAATCCTGACGGTCCTTTCTCTCTGTAAATACAATGTCTATTTGTATATTTGGGGTTTTTTTTTTCTCACATAAAGACATAAATATGTGCATTCTTCTGTGCCTAACCAAGCACTGTGCTGTAAAGCCAGCACAGTGGTTCAATGCTTGTGATCACAGCACTAGGGAAGTGGAGGTAGGAGTAACAGGAGTTCAAGGTCATCTTGCTACATATACATAGCAAGGTCATGGCCAACCTGGGCTACAAAACAAATAAACTTTGCCATAAGTAAGTATTTTTGTGCCTTTCACGATTTAAAACTCTCAGGCATTGATTTCTTACCTAAAAACAGATTCAGTTCTCACAGTTTTGTTACTAGTGCAAATTATGTTGACATAATGTTTTTAAGAGAAAACAAAATGTATTTCTTGTCTCAAAAAATATCAGTAGCCTATTAAGTAATAGGCTTCACCCTAAGTTGCTGCTGTGGAAGACATTACAAGAGCAATTATTGAGTTTTGGTAATGAAAACCTTAGGGCTAAAGATATGGCTCAGAGATTAGGAGCTCTTGCTGCCCTTCTAAAGGACCAGAATTCAGCTCCCAGCATCCATGTCAGGTGACTTAAAACCTCCTGTATCTTCACTTCTGGGGAATCTGACACCCTCTTCTGTCCTTCCCATACATGTGTGCATTCATACACACGTGCACACGCACACACACACACATACAGGAACATCCGTATTCACATAAATAATAAAATATTTTTTAAACTCTTATATGTGCCAAAAATATGTAACAAAATGTAAAGGCACACATTTTGGCCCTGCCATTTCCTGGAAACAGTTCTATTCTAAGCTAATGCCAAGAAGACATCAACATGTATGTGAAGATTTTTACATAAAAATATTCATCACATGGCTATGGGCAGTTCTCTTGTTACTTCCCAGCTCATTGCTCCCTGTAAGTGTATTCAAAAATCAGTTTTCTTCCCACAAAAAGTTTCTCATAAAATTATGTATAAAAGAGAAAATTTAGTCATAAGAAGAACATTAGCTGGCATGGCCTAACAGACTAAGACACAGCCTCATGGGGAATATATTGGACAGACATGTAAATCATCTTCTTTGATGACTAATTTTGGAAAATGCTTACCACAGAATGTTGGCAGAGACAGCAATGCGACACCCATCCCATCCCATCCATTTCCACACCGTCTTAGTTAGGGTGTCTACTGCTGTGATGAAACACCATGACCAAAAAGCAAGTTGGGGAGGAAGTGGTTCATTTGGTTTACACTTTCACAGCACTGTTCATCATCAAAGGAATTCAGGACAGGAACTCAAACAGGGCAGGAACCTGGAGGCAGGAGGTGACCCAGGCCATGGAGGGGTGCCGCTTGCTGGCTTGCTCAGCCTGCTTTTTTATAGAACCACCAGCCCACTCACGACGGGTCCCACTCACGACGGGCGGACATCAATCACTAATTAAGAAAATGCCCTACAGTCTCACCTGCAACCCAGTCTTACGGAGGCGTTTTTTTAAATTGAGGTTTCCTCCATTCAGATGACTTTAGCTTGTGCCAAGTTGACATAGAACTATCCAGCACACATACATAAAGTAGAAAAACAAAAAAAGAATATCCCAGATACTAACAAATACCTCTGGGACTTGGGGTGACTTTCATTTCCTTGTGTCTGAATTTCTAAGTGTTTCAGAATGTTCCATGATGACTGTATGTTCTTCATCAAGGAAAAGAAAGTAGGGTTCTATATCTGTCTCTGTACCTGAAGAAACGTCTCCACTTGCTGTTTCTTTGAGTATCTGCTGACCCATAGAGAGTAACAGGAAACAGGACTAAAGGATAAAATAATAGGAGAGAAAACTAAAGAGGTTTTCGCCTGTCATACCTCAAACTACAAAAGCTGCTGGTCCCAGAGAGCAGCTCTGTGGTTGGCACTTTGACAAATCAAAGCCAGAAATAATTGCACCTTTTTCTGTCTCTTCACACCCCAGTGTCGCCTCTATGACCTGCGGGCAGATAGAGAGGTTGCCATCTACTCCAAGGAGAGTATCATCTTTGGAGCGTCGAGCGTGGACTTCTCCCTCAGTGGTAAGATTTTGTTTCAAGAACATCCCCTGGATTGTAGGACCAGACCTAAAACTCAAGCAGCCCTCGGCCAAGCTTCCCATCACTGAGCTTACTATGAGGCAGTATGCTGAGGTCAGGTGGGACCTTCAGGCACCCCTGCCTTCACCTCATGCCCTGGCCACCTCCCCTTTGTGCTCAGAAACACACTTGGGAGGCAACTAGCAGAAGCCCAGCGGGTGCTGATGGGACTCCCCCCAGTCCTGAGCCTGTGCCTTTGCCCAAAGACCTGCAGCCACTTGGTGGCACCTCTATCCAGGAAGTGGAGAATACTGCTTAGCCCTCAAAAGCATGCATTGCGTTGCTAAACGTGGATCACGTTGTAAACCCAAACTCAAGGTTTAGAAATGACAGGAGTGTTCCTGCTTCCTCTAAGGCCCGATGGCATCCTACATGCACTTGAGCCTGACGTGTTGGCTCTTACCGCATGATGCTACAGTGATAGTCCTCTCTGTCCCATGCCTTCCCCAGAGGATTGTAGAATAACTTTGATTCGGAATATGGCTATTCTGGCAAGAGGTCACATCCAAAGATCTATGTGATCTGGCTAGAATGCAAACACACCTTTAATCCAGGAGACTGTGGCAAGCAGATCTGAGTTGAGGGCCAGCCTGGTATAGAGCAGGTGTCAGGTAAAGGAAAGCTTAGACCCGTGTGTGGTGGCACACACCTTTAATCCCAAACAGTGAAGGTAAAGATAGTTTGTAGAAGGAAGCACCCATGTTTGAAAGTGATGCCAAATTGAGTGGCAGAAAAAGTGACGAATCAGAGAAAGGTTTGACAGACTAGTATATGCCCAACTCTCAAGAGAAGAGAGAGGAAAGGGAAGTTACTTAAGGAGCAATGCAGAGAGGGAGGAGGCAGTTTTGTTTTTGTTTTTTGTTTTTGTTTTTGTTTTTTTACCAAGACAGTAATAGTCAGGTTGCAGAGAGAGAGAGAGAACTCAGGTGAAGACTGAAGCAGCCAGAGAATGAGAAGGAGCCAGGATATTAGAGCAGACTGCTGGAGTTAGTTTGAGGCCAAGCAGAGCAGTGCAGAGGCAAAAAGAAAAGCCAGATTAAATCAGTCAGCTGGGAGAGGAATTTGAGTCAGAACAGCTGAGCTGAACCAGCCAGCAGAATTTAGAAAGAACTAGAAAGGGTGAGCTTATTCAGCAGTAAGTCTCAGAGGCTGAAAACATTGTAGGCCTAGATTAGATTGTTTGGAGGCTAGAATCTTCCAGGACTAGGCCTAGATTAGCAGACTGAGGCAATAAGCCTCGGACACAACAATTGAAACAGGCAAATAAAGGTTCCTTTTACAGAGGACAGTGACCACTATATCCTGAATTCCAAAGGCAACACACATTGCCGGCCACACAGTGGGCCTAGATAACTGTGTTTATTAGACGGGTGGGTGGTGGGTGGGTGGATGGATGGATAGATAGATGGATAGGTGGGGGGTAGATGGATGAATGAGGAAGTTCATTGGTGACTGAGTGAGTGACAGTAAAGGAAGGAAAACCAGGAGCTGATTGAAGCATTGTGCCTTCTACTTCCAGGCCGTCTGCTCTTTGCTGGGTACAATGACTATACCATCAATGTCTGGGATGTCCTCAAGGGCTCCCGGGTCTCCATCCTGTTTGGACATGAAAACCGTGTCAGCACTCTGCGAGTCTCTCCTGACGGGACAGCGTTCTGCTCAGGATCCTGGGATCACACCCTGAGAGTAAGAAAGATGCCCCATCTTCCTGTGCGGCAGGCGAGGGAGGACTGGTGGGCCTGACCAGAGACACAGATGGCAAGGGGTGTCTCCAGGAGGTCGGGAGCGTCGTCACACGGGTGTTCAGAGAGACCAGAGTGTTCCCTCAACGTGGTGTTGAGATAACCCAAATGCTTCTGGAGGTTTGTTTTTGGTTTTTGTCAGACATACATACCCTATATGTCTGACTTTTGTGATTCTGGCCTTGAGTAAGCCACGGGTTCCCAGTCTACTGCCTGTAGGGAAGGATTCTTCACACCAGTACAGATGTCATGTGTCAGGTCACAGACCCCTGGGAGGCCCAAAGGCTGAAGGCCTGTGAAGGCCCCTGGGTGATTTACTAATTATAGGCATGCTATTCCAGGGCCTTGTGGCTTTGATCAGACTTTCAACTCCCCTGGGGTATTGCCACCATAGCAAAGAAGGGGGGAGGGTTTGGAAAGACGAGGTGTTCCGAAGCATGTGGGTGCTAAGCCGTTGACGGCTTGATTCCTGGAACCCACATGGTGGTGGGAGAGGACTGATGCCCGCCAATGACCCTCTGACCTGTACGTGCATGCGATAGCACACACGCACACACGTACACAGACACGTACACATTAAATAAATGATTAGAAACTATTTTTAATAAGGTCGTAGGAAGGAAGCAGTCCTTTTGTGTTCTAGTCATTTTTAAAACTTATTTATGTATACAGTGTTCTAACTGCATGTACACCAGTACACCAGAAGAGGGCACTAGATCTCACTGTGGTTGCTGGGAATTGAACTTGGGATGTCTGGAAGAACAGCCAGTGCTCTTAACCTCTGAGCCATTTCTCCAGCCCCACGTTCTGTTCATTTTAAAGGGAGTAGGTTGAATGTCGAGTTTTAGAACAAATATAATGAATTTTGCAAAGTTATGGAAGCAAAAGTTTGCCACTTTAGTAGTGAGGTGTTAGTAGTGAGCTGTGCAGACACACGTGGTTCAGTTCTCAATCTAAGGGGTCACCAGTGGCTGGTGAGCTGCTCACAGAAGCTCTGCAGACGGCCAACTGAGCAAGTAAGTGGCAAGCGTGATAGTGTGTGAGTGTGTACGTGCAGACTGACTTCCTATCTTTAAACTTTAAACTCAAGTCTTACAAATTATGAACTATTAAGAAGGATCTGTCTGTGTCTTCTCAGGTTTGGGCATAATCCTCCCACAGCTTGGAAGAACGCGTGTCCTTCCAGGCAGATACGACTTCTAGACAAGCCCAGGAGCCCAGGGCAACCTCACAGCTCGGCACTCACTAAGCCGCCCCACTGTCACCATGAAATCCGCCCCGTCCCTGGAGAAGTACCCATGTAGGCCTTCAACTGTACCGTCACATCCTTGTTCCGTCTCACATGCTTTGTGAAGTCTGTCTGGTTTTGAAGTTTTTCCGACCGGTAGAATTCCACCTTTATCATCATTTAAAATGTCCCTCACGACTCCCTCAAATCCAGTCTGTCTTCAGAGCACTTTAGATTCTTACCTTTTCTTGGTGTGGCCTGTGGCTTCTGGAACTTTCCTGTGGAGGTGCCAGCTCTATGGACTGTGAGAATGACTATTTGTTGGTCTGCAGTAGAAGAAAATTCCAGTTCCAAATGTGACTGCATAGAACCACTTTTTAAATAATGTCTTTATGTAAAAGTCTCTTTTTTCAACCTGTTCCGTGTGGGGTTTTTTTTAGATAAAAAATGTTTTGTTTGGGTTTGTTTTGTTTTCTGGGCGAGGCTTTAGAAATGAGGCGGACCCATGCAGAAAGTAGGCTGTATGTGTGGCTTGTGATAAATGGCAGTCTAGGGCAGGACATTCCCTAGCATTTGAGGAGAAAACTGATTGCCATGTAGAGCACAAATACTGCTGAGAGCAAACAGAGCCTTCTGGTGTGGGAAGGCAGGTCACTGAGTTGATTTAAAAGCTTGCTAGTATTGTCAGAAATGTCTAAGGTAACATAAATGAGATTCACATGCCCTGCAGGGCCCTTGTACTTACACAGGCTGACGGGCAGGCCATGAATAATAATGTCTTTGCTATCAAAGGGGTATCTTGTCTTTATTTGAACCAGCAATTCCTTCTGGATGCTACTGTATGCTTCCTCTTAGAAGATCCCTGCTTTTCCTTCCTTTTCTCTTTTAAAGGTGTAGAGGTTTAGTCTTTGAGAATCTCTTCATGTAATAAAATGCCGTGTTAACAGACATGGTGGCGCACACTTGTGAGCCCAGGTATATGGGAGGCGGAGGCAGCGGGTGGCTTGAGCCCCAGAGCCCAAGACCAGCTTTAGCCACATCGCAAGGCCTCATCTTTTCAGTTTTTGTTTCGCTCTATTTTTTTATGTTTATTTATTCCTATGTTCACTCACTTATCCTCTCTGTGTGTCTATGAGTACACATGCCACAGAGCACATAGAGAGGTCAGAGTTCAGACAGTGGCAGCCTGTTCCCTCCTTCTGCCATCTGGTGCCTGGGGATGGGACTCAGGTTGTCAGGCTTGGGAGCAAGCACCCTTTCCCCAGAGGAGGCTCCCTGCCCCTTGCTTTGTTTTATGAAACAAGGTATCACGTGTCCGAGGCTGCCCTCAAACTTCCTACACTGTCAAGTATGATTGGGAACTTCTGGTCCCGCTGCCGGTGCCTCTCAGGTGTTGGCACGCCGGGATTAACACACGGGACGCGCCAGTATCGTAGGTACACTGCTGGGGCTCAAACCCACACCTTCTGCACGGTTCACGAACGCTCTGCCAACTGAGCGACAGCCCCGGCCCCAAGACCCCATCTTTACAAACATCTCTTTTTAAGTATGCTGGGAACCACAGGGTCACCTCAGACGCTGGCAACCATTCCTGGGGTAAAACTGGCACTGTGGGCGGCCTTGGCCATCTAACCAGCCCAAGATTCGCTGTCTCTGAGAAGCGGGTGTGTTTGTCCCCAGAACGTCTGGTCTCCCCATCTCACCCTACTCTGCCCGGCTCTTTGCTTAGTGTTGGCTTTGTAGGCCCAGCCCCAGCCCCAGGCTCCTCAGAGAGACCTCAGAATGCAGAAACAACACTCTTCCAGGCAGCAGGATGCTACTGTGACCTCTTCAGCAGCCTCTTCAGCCACATGTACTTTTTTTTTATGTCATTAGTACTATGTAAATATCCCTTAGGAGCCCTGAAAGCGTCTCAGGAACTCACAAGGGTTCTGGGCCATGTTTTGACACTCTAAAGAGCTCTGTTTGCCTCTCAGGGACATAAAGAAGGGACCAGTACAGCTGGGCAGATAGACCTCTGGGAAAGGGCCTCGGGAGAAACTTGGAGTAACCTCAGCATCACAGAAAGTCAAAAAGGACCAGAACCCAGCAGGGCTGTGACCTACTAGCGCAGTGGTTCTCAACCTGTGGGTCGAGACCCCCTTCCGAGCTCCATATCAGATCTTTACAGTATGATTCATAACAGCAAAATTACAGTTATGAAATAGCAACAAAATAATCTTATGCTTGGGGTCACCACAACCTGAGGGCTGCAGCGTTAGGAAGGTTGAGAACCCCTGTACTAGAGACTTGTTTAATGAAGACAAATAGGGGTTCTAGGGAGCAGAGCAGAGACAGGCAAGAGTGGGTGGTTGGTGCCACGTTGCCTCCTCCAGCCTGGGACAGCCGCTTGCAAACGATTTATATATCATCTTGCCCCAGCAAATTAAGACACAGCTTCTAGCTGAGCCCCATGGCACAAGCCTGTGATCGCAGCAACTTAGGAGGCTGAGGCAGGAGAATGACAATCGCAAGGCCTACCCAGCCCCTTGGAAGTTCCTGCCGTGACCGTGTCTGTGTTTCTTAACCCTCTACTCCTGCTCGGCTTGCCTCTTGTAACAGGTGCGAGTGAGATTCCCAAATGTCCAGGCGGGGCGGGGCGGGAAGCCGCTGAGCCTATAAAGATGGTTGAGGTCAGGCCAGGTGTGGAGGCTGGACGACCTGCTGCTGGAAGGCTCTGGGGGGTGCTGCTGGTTGACTAGCTGACGCTCTGCACGAGTGGGAGCCAGGCGCCCCGAGCCACAGCCCAGGTGAGTCGAGGTGACCTTGCCTCCGCTCTGTGGCTGCGCAGATCCCGCAGCAGCGCCACGTTTTCTTTTCCTCCTTCTTCGGCTACCAGGGCTGCCGCCTGGAGCTGGTGACCCAGCTGGAGATGAGGCGCTCAGGATGACCACAGCTTCAACTCGGGCTGCTCCTGGCTGACGAGGGGACGCTTCTGGATGGAGCTCCGTGTGGGGCTGCCAGGTCTGACGACTATCCCGCAGCGGGCTTGCTGTGCGGGTCGGCTCATCGCTCCCACCTGGAGGCTCAGGACAGCTGGGTGAGACCGTGAGCGTGGGAGCGATGGGGTGAGGCGGGGGGAGTCGTGGGGTTGCTGTGCTGGGCACCCGGAGTGCTTCAGCTGCACTGTGCGGTCCAGCTGTATCCGCACGCTCCTAACTGAGGCACGTCCCAGCCCAGGGATTTCCCTACAGGCATTCAGACGGCCCTTGCTCAACAGTTCTCATAAAAATTCATTCACGGACAGCCAGGCCCTAACCCTTACCGCCCGGGACTGTCAGGGACGGCTTACTAGGTCTAATGTGCCCAAGTAGTATAAAGGGAGCAGTGATGACGTCCAGGCCCTCTGGAGTTTCTTCCTTTTACCCTGTAAGAGGGTAAGGCCCTAGGGATTGTGAGATGTGTGTGGGGACCCTGACTGGGATCTTTACTTCTAGCCCATCGTACTTTTCCCTGCTGGGCAGCCTCCAGCCTCCTGGCTTTCTGTGGGTCCTTACTCTCTGCATGGTCTACAGAGGCAGCTCTTGGTCGGCAGCTACACAGAGCTACCGATCAAGGAAGACACCTGGGATGGGGAGAGAGCCTGACGGTAGACTGTTAGTATCTGTGAGGCCCTGGGTTCAATCTGCAGCACTGTCAGAAAAGACGAGGAAACAAAAAACAAAACAAAACTCCACCCTAGGTTAGCCCACAGTGGTCCCTTGGATGCTGAGTTTGGCCTTGAGTTTCTTTGCTTTCCTACTCACTGGGGTTGAATCCAAACTGAAGTGACCCGTGTTATGGGATAAATATCTTACCTGTGAAAACCTGCTATACAAAAAAAGACAAGACCCTCCGTGAGCAGTCTGCATTTAAACCACCTGTGTAAGAAAGGCATTGATTTGTGTTAGTGGTAACTCCTGGCCCTGCTCCTGACCTCGCACTGCCCTCAGCTGAGTTTCTGAGGACCCTCTCTGAGCCCTCTGAAGAGGTCTTTAAGACAGTGTTAATTTCTCCCTCCTCTCTTGCCGCAGCCCGCCGGCAGAGTCGAACAGTACCTGAGTGGGGAGTGGGGACAAATCACACCTCACACGGGATTGGCTTGAGAAGGCTGTCAGTCTGACTGGAGCAGCTCGGGTTTATTCCAGGGTTCGTTATTTACAGGCAAAGCAAAAACAAGTCACATCAATACAAAAAGGTGTGGAAATGCCTGACTTTTCAAAGACTAGTCCCCCAGGTGAAAACATGACAAAGCAGCTTAACCAGCAGCTCTCCACACCACAGTGTGAGTCCTAGTGACCCAACTCGGCTCGTCAAGCTTGGCTGCAGGTGTGTTGCTTTAGCAAGAGGCCATTTTCATCCAGGTGCCTGAGGCTTCCGGGTTACCTGGAGCATCCGGGACTGTCCAGCTACACTACAGACTTGGAAACGAAAGGCAGGCACACCTTTCCTGGCTGTCTTCCAGTATCGCCCTGTGAGTTCAATATTGAGCTTCTGGGCCTTTCTCTCAGGCTGGCTTTGTCTGTAACTGCGTCCGACGGCTCTCCACACACTCACTCTCTCATAAGGTCTCAGCCTTGGGAGGGCTTGAGAGGAATGGTGGGGCATATTTTCCTTTTGGTAAGACAGTCACAAGCAGAATTATTAATATCATGGAAAAACCGCAGAGAAGCGGCTCTGCATAGAGTTTAGGTCTATGGGGCCAAGTAGGAGCCCTCTTATGGGTCCCAGAGGAAGGGGAAGGTCCCATGTGCATAGTGATGAACGTGTGCATGCAGCCGTCACTCGCTCCAGAGCAGCAGGGGAAGGGGAAAGGTTTTGCCCTTTAGTTAATGTATCTTCATCATGGACTATTTGCTACCCATAGTCCCTGATTGCTTTGTGTCTCAGGTCACCTGGGATTGGTAAACTCCCTTTGGGGAAGAGAGGCCCACAAGATCTCAGGCTGGCTTTCCATAGGGTGCCTGCCATTTCTTTCATTCAAGCAGAGAAGACGCTGCTGAAAGTTAGCGTGGTCTGGATGGCCTCTAGTTCCAATAGAACAGTCCCAGCCTTTTCTCTTTTCAGGGGTAACAGGCATTAACTTCAATGTCAGGTTGTGATACCCTGACTTGGGTGGGGTGCTATCATCAGGTCTCCCATCTCAGGGTGTCTGAGTCAGAGATTGATGCCTGTATTGGTAGAACGGAAAGGTGTTGTCCACAATGAGTCTCCGGGGCAGCACGCCACAGTCTGGATGAATTGAGATGGGAAATGTGCTAAAGAGGGGGCCTGTGGATGTGAGAACCAAGATCATTAGTAAAGGAGAGGCCACAGGTGTGAGCCCGGAGGTCCCCGATGGGTTTCGAGACCATTTCGAATTTGTTTTGTAGAGAGAGGGTCAAGAGCGCATAGAAGAGTTAAAGACTGACAGGTGCCGCCAGGCAAAGGAGGGAATGCCC